AAATACTTTATATTTAAATACTTTAAAATACTTTATATCAAAACACTTTATATTGAAATACTCTAAATACAATATCAATGTTAATTACATCTCAGGACTTAGTTTTATTAAACACACACACACACACACGCACACTTCCTGTCTGCACAGTTGAGGATGACGTGAGCGTCAGTCAGCGCGGTGCTGCCACCTGCTGCGGCGGGGATGGAACTACAGCTCACAATGAATATTTAAAATGAATCAATAAAGATGAAAAAAAGAGAAATAACTACAAATAAAACTAGATAGATCTTTAAAAACAAAGATATATAAAAGATAGATAGGTAAACAGATAGATAGATAGATTTCTGACAGTTAACAACCTTTAAAGAAAGGTAAACACAAATCAGCTGTTTCCTCTTGTGCCTACTCTTTATTTTACAATATGTGTGTGTGATTTTTTTAAATTCTTAATGTGACATCTTAACTGCTAAAAGATTTATTTTCATTCTCTTTGATTCAAAACACACATTAATAAAAACACACACCAGCTCAGAGTCACGTTCCGCGGTGTCGATGGAGAAACATTAATAATAAATGTCTCACTCTTGAGGTTTGAACCAATAACATTCATAATTCAGTTTCAAAGCATCAACAATGACTCGGAGCAGATCGTGAGATGTAGAGACACACTAAATCTGAATAAAACCTTCAGGGAGCGAGTTCGAATATGAAAATGTTTATTTTTTAATTTGTGAGAACTTAACTTCCTCCTTAAATACAAGTGACAGAACAGAAACTGATTGTGTTTAATAAATCACAGACTATATCTGCTCAAACCTTCAAACCTGACAAACTGTCTCATCTCAGACGTCATCACGAAGGTTTCAGGCGACCACACAATCCTTCCCACCTGCGTCAGTGAACTCATCACACTCATCTTTGTGAGCATTACTTCGATCCCAGTTTACACACACATGTGGCTGCCATGGAAATGCCACGTCAATCTGCTGTTGACCTTCTGCAGAGCCCAAACACGCTGGCATCCCCCTGCACGGTGATGATGATTACCGTCGTCAGAGAGAACACGGGGCCGGTATTGATTGGAACTCTGCTGAGTCTCACAGCTGATGTCCCACTTTCTCACTTATTGCAGAGCGACGCCGCTGCAGCTCTGTAATCTTCCCTTTGAGTGAGCCGAGCAAAAGAAGAGCACAGTGTTGAGAAGGCGTTCAAACGTCCTCCGACGGGCTTTGATGACTCTTTGTTAATATGCTCAGCTGCTTCTCCTTCCCCTTGTTCCCAAGCTTCATCGCCGCTTCTCTCTGGTTATAAATGACTCTCTGCTCTTAGACTTAGTCAAAAATCATCAAACCTAATTAATCTACGAGCAGATACTCACTTCAACCGGCTCCCACCAGAGTTCAGCCATGTTTTTATACAGACGATCCTTTGTGAGTCCACAGATAAAAGCCTGAGAGACAACTTTAATCATCTGGCTTGATTTTAAAATGTGTACTTTTTGTGTGTATGTGTGTGTGTGTGTGGGGGGGTAATATACTTTTCCTTACTGTTGCTTCTTTTCAAAATCAAATCCAAGTTTTCCAAACCTTGAAGTTTGCACCGGAGCGTTTCTGATGACTTGTCATGCAAACTGCAAATGTAGCTGCCGGTCAAAGTGTCCGAGCCGCAGGTCTGCTGCAGTCATCACTGCCACTCTTGTTTCCTGTGTACTTCGCAGTTTTGTGCGTATACAACATTATTTCCTTACAGAGGCGACGAACTTGGCCGTCCGTCATTTCCATTTCTATTGAGCGGCCTTCGTCTGCAGAGCCTCTCCTCACACCTCGGGAATATTTTACCTTGTCTTGAGGGACGGCGAATGGAAATGAGGGCCCCTGAACGCCAAAAGACTCAGAAAGAGGCCTTCAGGCTCCATCAGAGCTCCTCGCTGAAAGACACATTATTGAAGCCCCCCCCACCGCTGCGTCACGGAGAAAAGTTATTAATTAGGGGCGATATTGATCATTTGATTTGTTTGGAGCGGAAGACAACAACCGGTGTTGTGTTGCTGTGGAGGAATTGTGCATAAAACATCTCCAACATTGGATCTAACGTTTATTAAACTACAGTTCCCAGGTGAAATGTAAAATAAAGGGTATCTTATCTAAGCACTCCACCACAGGAACATTACATTTGACAAAGATCTGGAGACAAACACTTCTAAATATTCTGCATTTGTAAATGAGAAAGAGCAGAAGGAGGTAATTTAAAGTATTTACAATAGATCCAAGTCACCTGAAGTCAATCTGACAGCCTGACAACCAGAACCATCACCTCTCCCACCCATCACCTCCCTCTCTGTCAGCCTCCTCCCTTCTCTCTCGCCCACCGCGCCTCGATATTCACACGGACAGCCGGAGAGTGTGAACGCTGCCAGACGAGCAGACTCTTAAAGTGTGTCGCACAAATCCGACGACTTGACCCTGCAGCACATTCTCCGTCTCCGCCTGCAGTAATGACAATAACACGAATGAAAAACAAAGGCCCATGTTTCCCCCCCACTGAGGCTTGAACGTGGAGGTGCACAGAGCTGCCTCTGGGGCAGAGCTGCCACTTATCGCTGCTATAAAACATGAGAAATGTCTTTCTGTGTGATGAGGCCGCTAACACTGACTCACATCTGTGGATTTCTTTGTCCTGCACAGTTGAGGCCTTCAGGTTTCACCTCTACCTGACCCCAGGTTTGCTCCCACAGAGCAGCTGACGCAGCTCACTCACATCCAGAAGCTGCAAAACACACAATTAAAAGTTCATTTTAAGAGCCGGACAAACTTTCCATAACTCCCCTTCACCCACCAAAGTGGAGGGGGTCCATTTTGGTGCTGGGGGGGGAGGGGAGGGGGGTCTGACAGCTGAGATAAAGAACATTCTGGGCTCTGACATGCAGCCATGGCCCCATCTGTGGCAGCGCTAAAAATACACACAGTCTGGTGTCACCATACCAGTCGACTGTCTGGGAGAGGGAGGGACGAGAGTGGGGGAGGAAGGAGGAAAGACGGAAGGAGAAGGAGAGGTGACAGACTTATATAAGGAGGGAGAGAGGAAGAGGATGAGTAATAGAGAGGAGACAGATGAGGGAGGGTGATGCTGTGATCTCTGTGATGTCGTTATCGCTGATGAGCAGCGAACATGAGTTACACAACACGACAAACGCACCGACACACTTTAGAGAACACACAGAAGAAATAGATTTATATAAAATACAGCAACATTCTTTAATATTTCTTTCAATATCATTGGTTTATTTATTGAATTATCAATTAAATTATTGAT